ACTCTAAAGTGCTGCAGAGATGTTTGTTAAGAAGGTTGTTCTGGCAGTGACATCAAGACGTGTGGGGAGGCGGGGAGAGCTAGAGCTGGAGAGGACAGCTGGGAGTTTGTCACAGAGCTTCCTGATATGTGTGGGGTGGGGATGTGGTTGGAATGGGGAGGAAGGGACAGGTTTACAGGCATGTGAAGAAGGTGGCGGGCTTGGGGACCGACCGAGGTGAAGTGTAGGACCTGGTTGGCTGGGGAGAGAATGTGGGGACCCTGGCAGAGATGGGGAAGTGGGGGTGATTAGAGGGTGGAGGGAGATGACACACTGCATTTGAGGCAAATGTGGGGGAGGCAGGGATGAAGAAGCGGGTGGAGGAGTGGGCTTATCAAGGTCAAGGCTTCAGAGCCATTCAGGTGGCAACTCTCGGAGTCCTGGGACTCACACATACCCCGCGGAGCATCTGGAATCCAGGCTTCTAAGCAGATCTCTAGGTCTCTGTCACCAGGCTTGGAAGAAGGAAGTAGAGGGAGCTGGGGTGTAGGGGCCATGAGACTTGCACATCTGAAGCTCATCCTGTCTGAGGCGCATGTGTCACCAAGAAGCTGAGATCGAGGTAAGGGAATGAAAGCATCAGCCCCACAGCAGTTCACCTTAGAATTGACTTCTCCTGAAGGAGAAGGTCAAGTACGTGTTCTGAACTGGAGCATGGGGAGAGTAGTTATGGGCCTCTTGTGTTTGTTCAATTTGGTGGCAGCCAGTGGACTCCAGGGCGGAAGGGGGAGATGCGCTTGACACCAGCACAGCAGGGAAGGCCACGCGCAGGTCACCTGATGCTTGGGAGTAGCCTGGTTGTTTTCCTTCTGGTGATTCTCTCATGCCAGAGGCAGAGGCACATGTGCTCCTCCTTCCAGTGCTGTCACACGTGCTCCTGAGGCTCGGGCTTTTCTGAGTCTGGGTGGCCATGGCTCCTGCCCTGGCTGTGGGATTGCTTCTGTCCTCCCTCCTGCCCGGCCAGCCAGTGCTGTCTTTGCCTGTCTGTGAGGCTCCCTGGCGTTGGGAGCGGGGAAGAAGGCCCCGCAGCAGCCAGTCTGCTTCCTTCCCCGTCCCGCCCTCTGAATCCTGCTCGTTCCCACCCCAGAGCCAGTCGGACTCGCTCTTGGCCTCCCAGTGTGGGCAACTACCTAGCGCCTCGTTTGGTGGAACCCTGCTGGTCCTGCTCTTGTGTTTACCTTTCATTGATAATCAACTCTTAGGTCCTATCTCATGGGAGGAGACGGGCATCAAGGAAAGTGTACAGGACTGGGGAATCGGGAAGGGCTGGGCTTGAATACTGGCTGGACTCTTTTCTACCCGAGTGACCGTGGGCGAGTTCCGTCACCTACTGGATCCTTAGTTTCTTCATCTCTAAACTGGGATGTTTCTTGTTAGGATTAAGTGACAGCGTGTGCAAGTACGAGCGGCATGCCTGCAACGTAGTAGTCTCTACACGTATGTCAGTTTCCGTCTTTCTTTCTCAGGCCGAGCTTTGCCCAAGTGCCAGGCTGACGTTAGGAGTTAGGAGCTCTGTCTTCATCTGGCTCCTTGAGGAAGTCAGTTCCTCCAGCTGAGCCTTCGAGGACTCAGGTGGGGAGTGAACAAGTGTCAACAGAACTTTTCAGTACTGACATTCTGTGAAATGATGAACCTGTAGTTGGGTCTTCTGGTCATCTCTGTGCTTTTTGTTACTGTCACTAGAGGAGGGGAGGGGGGGAATCACATGGGTAAACTTTTCTACTTTTCTAGAAACTGTAGTATTTCTTGTCAAAGGGCTTGATGTGGGAGGTGTGTCCCACCTGTGCGTGGCTCCTCAGCTCTTTCCTCGGTGATGGAGAAGAGTCACCGGTGTACTTTCCGCTCACGGGCAGTGAGTCCTTCGCAGGCCTCAGTGGCAGAGCTCTTGGACAGAAAGCAAGGCGTTGGCAGTGTCTTCATAAAACCATCAGTCGTTTAACAGGAACCTCCCCAGTGCTTCACATTTTTCCAGAAAATTTTGAAGCCCAAGAGCTGTAGACTACTTGTGACTTACAGATGTCCTCCTGCGGGATTGCTGCCAGCCATGCCTGGTGCCGGAATCTCCTTTCCCTCTCTCTGTGCCCCTTCTCTGCCTTCCACCTCCCTGTTTATTGCTGCTGCAGCAACTGGGGTCACTCTGTGCGCTGCTGGCTGGGTGTGGCCTTTCCTCTCACCATCTGCTGTGTCGCCAGTACAGAGTCAGCAGAACCAGCCAGTGTCTGTAGTGATGGCCCCTAACCTGGCGGCACAGTGGAGTTACCCTGCAGCACTAAAAACATATAGGTGCCTGGGCCCTATCCCAGATCACTTAAAACCCTGGGACGGAGCATGGGTGTCAGTTTGTTCCCAAATCTGCTGAGGTGACTCACATAAGCAGCCTTCCAGACTTCATTCTCAGCAGCCTCTGTCTCCATCTTGCATCTGTCACATGCTGTCATGTCGACATGCTTCCTGTCCCTCTCCCATTCCTCAATGCTGTGTCCCCAAATCCTTGACCCCCTTTTAGTTGGGGCTCAGTTCTTTCCTGCCTCCTCCACCCAATTCTGATTCCTGTCCTGCAGGCGCCCTGCCCAGGTCATGGGAACTACAAACTGAAGTGACACCCAGACTAGAACCTGAGAGATGTCTCTCCAAAGAAACATTGTTTGCCAGTGGTGGGCAGAAACCACATTGGTCTTCCAGGGCTTTAAGTGCTTAGCAGGCTTTTATGGACTGGTTTGGGAACTTCACCACCACACAAATATTGTTTTCATCTAAAAATTGAGGGGTCTGCTGTGCAAAGCAGCAAGATTCTACTAATGTCCTCAATGTGCTTACAGTCTACCAAATAGAGACTTAAACTCACAGAAAAATGTTCTCTAATACAGAATCCAGGGCTGGATTTTGTCCTGTAGACCAGCTGCTCTTAAACTTGGGCCTATTTAGGGTCCACTTGGGAGCATTTTAAAAATATACATGTTCTGATCACATTCCACTTTATTCTGGTGCAGTATTTTGTGGGTGAAGCTAGAGCCTGGCTTTTTAAGACAAGCTCCCTGGGAGGTGCTGGTGTGCACCCAAGTTGGAGAAGGGTCTGTGTGCGTGAACTCAGAGAGGGGAAGTCAGGCAGGCTGCAGTCAGAGGAGAAGGCTTCATGAAGGAGGTTTCTGAATTTGTCATTTTCCTAGAAGAGTCAGAGCCATGGCCAGGGGAGGCAGCTTGCGGGGGCTTCCCTCCCTGGGTCTGATACTCTGCCCCTCCCTAGGTGCTGTTTCTTGGTGTTCCTGTCCTGACATCTGGCTGTCAGGCCCTCAGCTCAGACATGTTGGCACATTTTTCCTTGATCAGGAAGTGTCTGCCTGGGGCTGCCGGTGTGCCACCTTGGCAGCGAGCTGTCACTGTTAAGTCTTCTAGGTCCAGTAATTGGAATGGACATTGAGCGTCACTTTGGATCAGGCCTCAGGAATCCTGGGGCTGTTTTCTCCTGTGTCATTCATCTTCCCCTGGGTGGGGAGGAAGGTTGGTGAAGGAGCAGCATTTTCAGATGTTCATCATATTTTCCTGGCTTTTCATGGTGGACTGGAGGTGCAGTTGAGCTTAGGAGCAGGCTGTGGCTGGGGTGTGGGTGAAGGGGGTGAGGACCCCCTGCCCCCCTAGGCTGGATAACTTTCTTGCCCAATGGAGAGAGCTGACGGGAGGCAGGGGACTGCGGGTGGAGCAGCCTTCACCTCCAGGGTGGAGGGGATGAGGTAGAGTTGAAATCTGGTTGGCCCTTACCTGTCATTACCAGTGGGTTAGGGTCTGAATGTTTCCCCAAATCCCACTTTGTCACTCCTAATTCAGGATAGGGCTTGGAGGCCTTTGGGCTGTGGTTTGGGGTGAGGAGATTGAGTTGGGCAAGAGCGGCCCAAGACTTGGCATTTGCATCTTGTAATTAGTGTGTGGGAGGGACAGGCCACCATACATTAGGCACGCTCTGTGTCTTCATATAATTCTCACAACCACCCTATGAAACAGGGCTTTCTGTCCCCATTTTAAAGATAAAGGAACCTGCCTAGGTCATGGAGCATTAATGTCACAGCTAAAATTCCAATAGCTGAGCTTTGTAAAGGACACCATGCTGTTTCTAAGGCCTTGGTGTGGAAGTCTGGAGACCTGAGCTTTAGTTCAAGCTTTGCCACCAATTATGTGACCTTGGACAAATCCCCTCACTCACAAGTTACTTTCCTTAACTGTACAATGGATGGGGGTGGTGACAGATACTCAGTCTGTAGAAGAAGCCTGCGGCTCCCTGTGTCCCTGCAGCCATTGCCCCCCAACGTTATTTCATTTGGTACTCAACAGTCCTTTGAAGTAGGCTGAGCAGATGTATTTTTATTTTTGTGTTGTGTGAGTTTGTACCTGATGTATTATGAAAAGAAATTTTGCAGTGGCACAAAACAGGACAAGGTCAATGAGATCAGAGCAGTCATGGCAGAAAAAACATAATAGCAAACATGTGTTAAATGTCTTCTATGTACCAGGGACAATTCCAAGAGCTCTTAAATGTATAAGGGTACTTTTAAAAGTTCGTGGAAAATTAGAATTAAAAGTCAATACGAATCTTTCCGTGAACTTTTTGAAGTACCCTTGTATTAACTCATCCTTAAAACTATCTTATGAGGTAGGAAAAATTATCCCTATTTTACAGAAGGCGAAACTGAGGCTCAGTGGCTAAGGAACTTGTTCATGGTCAGATGGTGGAGGACACACTTTTAACTACTAGAATACCTCTCTGTAATCAATAAGGCTGGCGTAGTGCTCAAGGAAACCTGAGTTATTATCACTGTTTTATAGGCGAGGAGAGTGAGCTAGCGAATGGGTAAGTGACTTGCTCAAGATGGAAGGGCTGGAAGGCGACATCAGCAACTACAGTCTTGGTCTCTGGCCTAGTGCTGTTTCCACTGCCTCCCTTTTTAAAATGAAAAACATGTGTCTTTCAGAACCTGGCAGTTGGGGCAGGAGCAGTTGGATCTTTGCAGCTGACCTACATCTCGAAGGTAATGTTGTCCTGGAACTCTGAGAATTACATTCTCTAAGCAGGTTTAGTATCTAAACAAGGGGAAGTGTCAAATCCTTTGTGCGTCAGCATTTGCAGACGTTTCTTGGGCATTGAAATGCCTCCCTCCCTCTGGCCACTGGCAGCTTTGTTGCTGACTGGGCTGCGTGTTGTGGCGAGTAGCATGTTCTCAGAGGGTGGGCATGCAGCTCCGTACTCCTCCGACACGTCGGTCCGTAGTGCTTCCAGCTCCTGCAGAGGAGGTGTTGGTGCTGGTTGAGCTGGGTTGGGACTGGGACATGTTCTTTTTTGTAATCGGGACAGAATGAACACAAAAACAACCAGCAAACATTAAGTGGCTGTAGAGGATTCTCCCAAAGGTGCAGTCAAACAGGGGCAGCTCAGAAAGTGTGGGGCTTCACTGGGATTTTATCCATTACCTGGACAGGATTACTGTGGAGGGAAGGCTCAGAATTCCCCGAGAAGGTACTCAGATGTGCCAGGGAGACATTCGACAGCCAGATAACTGCCGGGGAGTCTGGCAGGCAGCTGATGGGCCACCCTTGGACCAGGGCAGACAGTACAGAGGGGCAAGAGTAGCTCCTCTTGTGTGCGGAGACCTGCGGGTGGGGCCTTGTTACTATGCCCACATGTAACTGCTGAGTTCAGCTTCTGAGCGGCCCCTCCCTGCATCAGGCCCCGCTGCTGCTGCCCTGTGATGCAGCAGTGATAAAAAGGCCTGGGGGGTTAGAGTCCCCCCAGAAAGAGGAGCTCTTTGTACAGTGAGGAGAGCCTGGTGGCACCCTGTCAGCACTGGGGTTCTGAAAGTCCTCCTGTCACTTCAAACGCTGCTTCGGGACCACTGCTTTCTTGCCCGTCAACTCCTGCCCTTAGGGGCTTGAGACCTGGGGGCCCCTGAGCCGAGTGGCTGTGGCTCCATCTTTTAACAAGCTTTGGGAGTCTGGCTTCATCCCTACATCTCAGCTGGTCAGGAGATGAGTCTGGAGGTGGCAGGAGAGGCCACCTTCAGCTGGAGGGCAGCCGATCCGTGCCCGTGTGCTGCAGGCAGAGTCTGGCAGACAGCCCAGAACAGAGGCAGAAGGTGCAGCAGTCAGAGTGGATTAGAGAGAGGAGATGGTGACCTGAGGGAGGGGAGGGGCCTTGCTGGCACAGCTGTGGGCAGTTTGTGTCTGCCCCATGGTCAGAAATGTGTCTGCCTCCCTCGTGCAGACCAGCCAGAGCCTGGGCCGGCCGCCTCCCCCGCCCTGTGGTCATCTTGCTGTGAGCTCATTAGGTCATTTCCCCAGGAGGTTCGAAGCAAGACAATTCAGAGGAGGGGAGCAGAGAACCTCCTAATAAGTGAAAACTGAAACCCTCTCCTGTTTGAGAGGGTTTGGGAAGACTTAGAATTTTTTTTTGTTTGTTTGGGGTTTTTTGGTGGGGAAGAGTGAATACAATCCGCTGCTGAGTCATGATTTATAAGTGCAGTTTGAATGAGAATTTCTAGAATTCTCAGCTCTTGGAGGCTGCCTCATTTAGAAAGGATAGACCTGCTTTTTAGCCCTCCCTGAGAGAGGCAGGCCTGGGTGGGTATTTTGCAAAACCCACAGCTGCCACTGGCTCAGGTTACACAGAGTTTAGAGCCTTTAACTCCTGCCTGACCCGATGCCAGGAAGGAGGGGTTTTCCCAGAAAAACATTCAGCCATGGTGCTAGTTCCATCCAGTTCAGCATTCCAGGTTACTTCTTGTTAACCCAAGAAGTGCAGCATTTGCCGCAGCTTTTGCCACAGCACGGGCCCGCTGCCATGGCATGGTAGGCTCTGTCTGTAACTGTCTCCTGAGGGCTAGTGCTGGGAAGATGGGGATGGGCTCGTGGTCCTGCACAGAGGCAAGCAGATGACAGTGCTTGATTTCATGTCATCCAGGGCATCCATGCAGCAGAACCAGTTCTTGGGCAAACTAGAAGATAATTGAAGCTGGCCTTTGGCACCACCCATGGTCCTGCTTTGCCTGACAGCTCCTCTCTCCGCTCTGACCGTCTCTGCACAGCCAGCCCCACTGTCCCACCCATAGCCTGGGTCCCATTTTGTCAGGGCCTTGCCCTCAGTTACCTGTCAGGAAGAACTTCCTAGAACAGTGGTTCTTAACTTTTTTGGGGGGGGTGTCATGTACACTTTTGGGAGTCTGATGAGCATGGACTCGTTTTACAGGTAAATGTATATATGTGTATATACATCTTGACTTTGCCTGTAATTTTAAGGGGCTCACTGACCCCCTAGAGTTGATCCAGAGACCCCAGCCCAGAATGCCTCCAACTGTCCTGTGTAAGTGGCTGCTTACTCTGCTGCTGTTGATGCCACCGTGTGGGACAATGTCACCCCAGACGCTGGGGCAGAGGTGCACCAGAGCTCCAAAACCTTGTTTTGCTGCTGCTGCTGCTGCTGCTTTTGCCAGAGGGGCCCCACCTCCACTTGTGGCCAGGGGCAGGCAGGGTGGGGTTGGCCCGAGCAGTGTCCTGCCACATATGCCTTTGCTGCTCCTGTGGTCTGTGTTTGATCTGATAAGAGCAAGCAAGTTCCTGAGAGTCTGTCGAGCTGTGGAGCAGCCGTGTCTGCGTCACTCCACGGGTGACCCCTGCTCACTCCCCTGCTCACGTGTCGACCTCCTCTCCCTGCTGGCATGTTCACAGGACCTGCCAGTCAACCACCATTGTGCGGCTACTCAACTGTGGCTGCCTCTGCGAGTGCAGATGGCTGTGCCCTGAGTGGAGTTGGGCTGCCAGGTGTCCCGCCATCTGCGGTCACTCTTCTTTAGGAGGCCCCTCTGTTCCTTCACTAGGTCTCAAGGGGGCTGTTGCAGCCTGGCCTGCTCACCATCAGGCAGTGGGGGTGGGCAGAGGCGGATAGACCCCCGGGGGGCAGGAGTTCCGCCTCTGTGGGTGCTGTGATGTTGGGGAGAGGCCGAAGCCACATCTCTATAACAAACTAGATTCCCTTCTTGGCCCTTCTCTGTGTAGAGCACAGCAACAGGTAGATATAGTTTCATTTTCTTCTTTGCCATTCTGTGACTAGGGGGCTACTAATTTTACTGTGGCTTTACCAATTGGGAAGCTGAACAGAGACACTGAGGGTCTTACCCTTGCCGCACAGCCAATCAGGGCAGAACTAAAACTGATCCTGTGAATTCAGCCCTGAGCTGTATTGCCCAGTAATCCTTTGGTGGTAAGCCATCAGGCGTGAGCAGATTCTCCAATGTGCATCCTGCACTCCCACACACCTCCCCACTGAAAACTGGATGAACACACAAAAGCAAACAAAAAGCCAAGCTTTAGTCCCCATCGTGAGCACAGAGATAGCAGTCTCACGGTATAGGCTAATAGGCTGTGGTCAAAGCAGATCACTTGTAGTACAAACAGGGCGACAAGTGGTGTTCTCTCTAGTCAGTGATATATGAGTTTTTCGGAGAAAAGGCAGTTCTCCTAAGAAGCCAGAAAAAAGGGTCTTGGAGTGCCTAGCTTTTCAGTGTCATTCTAGAGCTGAAAGTAGAAGGGTAGGTTCTGAGGACCGGGACAACCGAGGAAGTTCTACAATGGTCAGGGGTATGTGGAAACCAAGGGCAGGACAAGCAGGAGCTGAAGGACAAGAGGACCCTGGGGGACATGGGTGCTGAAGCACAGAACAAGATCTGAGGCAGTGACAGATCAGCACATCAGAGACGTGAACAGGATAAAGGCACATGCTGTGGTCTGGGTGGAATTCGGAGATCAGAGGCCCAAGCAAACAAAATAGCATGGGGGACAGGACTAGTGATGGAGAGCCGGTGTCCTGTTACCTGGTGGTTAAGACATAGCTGAATTTGGGTTGTCTGTGTGTGAACTCAGGATATACGGGTTTACCTTTGCTTAAATCTTCATGTTTTTCAGAACTTTCTTGCGCCCTATAGCTTCCACCTTACATCATGGTAAACATGTCAAAATGCATGCACATCCCTCATTAATATAATTCTTTGGCTATAAAATATTTGAGAGGATTTTACTTATTTTACTTTTGGAATGATTTGGCTGTGAGTAACTCATTCAACTTATGATAAGGTCTAATTTCTGAGCAATCATCTTGCACATTTTTGGGAACTAAGAAAACCTAAGCTACTAATTGTTTTCAGATGTAATGAAATTTTTTTGAATGCTTAATTGAAAGAGTAATGAAGTTGACTTAATGTGACATCTTGTACGCCTCTAGTTAAATACTTGTCAGTGAGGTTGATACAGTGTCATGCAGACATTTAATTTGATATTTACTGATGCTGGATGTGAGGCCGGGTGTTTTATTCAGGGCTCGTGGGCCGTCAGCGTTTTGCCCGTAGTCCCAAGTGTGGCACTGCCTGTGTTAATGTGTGGAGGGGGTTTTTAAAGGAAATGAGGTATCAGAAACTATAAATGTTCCTTCCTTGATTGAGCAGATTCTGCATGTCAGGATGGTTGAATGCCTCACCCGCACTGTCATATTTAATCCTCACGATAGCCCTATGAGAACATGATGTTATTATCCCTTGTTTAATAGAACAGGAAATGGAGGTGACACAGCTTGGACACCTGTGATTTGAGACTGTCTCTAGAGTCTAGGCTGTGCTGCCTGTCCTTCTTTTATAGGCTGCTACCTCAGTTCGTATTTGAATATTTGGGATGATGATGATTTTGGTTAAGGAATCTGGGCAGGTCTATAGGAAGAACTTAGAGCCGAGAGCGAGCACCTGGACAGACTGGGGGGTCCGTCGTTACTGGACCCTTGCAGCTGGCAGCTGTGAAGAGACTTTCATTTCAGTTCAAGACCTTTCTTCAGTGCCTGGTTCCTAATACGCCTCCTGTTGAAGCAGAAGCCACCCCTTGCGGCCCCTGGGCGAGAACAAGTAGGAGGAAGCTGCTCGCTGGTGTCTTAGTCCATTTCTGTTGCTTATGACAAAATACCCAAAAGTGGGTGTTTTATAAAGAAAATGAAATTTATTGGTTACAGTTCCAGAGGCTGCGAAGTCCAAAGACCAACGAACACATCTGGTGAGGGTCTTCTTTGGTGATGGCTCTGCAGCAACACAGGGTCTCACATGGCAGAAATGGCAGAGCAGAGAGAAAGAGACCAACCTCCTCATTCACTCTCCTTTTAAAGCCACCAAAACCACTCCCATTACTCCAAGAATGGATCAATCCATTCACAAGGGCACAGTCCTCACAGTCTAGTCACCTCTTCAAGGTCCTACCTTTCAATTACCATAATAGGATTTCCCACCCTCTTAACATTATCAGAGTCAGGATTAAGCCTCCAACATATTAAACTTTGGTGGGACACAGTTCAATCCACAATAGCTGGGAAGGGGATTGAGGGAATGGTATCCAGGGGAGGACTATGACAGTATGTGAGTAGTCCCCAGCCTGGGTCCCAGGGAAGGTGGCTGCCTCCTTAGAGATCCCAGGTAGAGTGCTGCAAGCCTGCTCCAGGGATGTTCAGCCTACATGAAGGATAGTCACCTGACGTTTGTGGGCGCATGCTGGAATATGAGTTGCTTTTCTTAATCTTTCAGTGTGTTCGAACGTGCGTGATGGGGGCTCACTTGTGCAGATACTCAGGAATGTACGTGTAAAGAGTAAGATTGCAGAAGCAAGATGAAATAAACCATCGGGAGGCATAAAAATCCTCCCATTTTCTCATGTCCTTCCCTTAAATCCATAGGTGTGCTCTCTGATTCCATTAGCCCGTCTTTGGGTGTGCGGGAAGTGCTCATTTTCACATGGTTAGGTAGCCAGGGTGGGTATACGGGCAGTTGCGAGTGGCGTGCCACCTCATCTTTCTGAGCACTCTCGTTGGGACCTATGTGTTTGCAGCAATACAACCTGTTTAGGAGGGGGTTGAAAGAAGAGTGGAGCCCTGCTACTGTGAATGAGGCCAGGACAGGTTATGTGGGCCAAAGAGAATTTTGTCAGGACTCAGTGCCTTTTAAAAGTGTTTTTGCAGAGACAAAGATTCACACATGCATCAAGATAGTGGTTATCTCTGAGGGGTGGGGATTCTATCAGGGAAGGGCACGCAGAGGGCTTCTAAGAAACAGGATTGATAATGCCTATTTCTTAATCTGGATGAAGAGTATAGGGTTTAACTATGATTGTTTAAAATGTATACATGTGTTTTATATACTATTTCTGTGTATGAAAAATTTCACAGTAAAAAATTTTCGGTAGTTAGAAACATTCATGTTCCTTTTATTTTTTTTAATTTGATTTAGGTGAGCGTAGCTACCCCAAAGCAGAAACCAAAAACTCCATTTTGCTTTGGTAAGTATTGAGCCAGGGGATGGGTTTTCTTAATACTCGTGCAGCAACTTCCTCTTTTGCATGGTGACAGTCCTGTGATCACATGTGACCATACCCTGTGTGTATGAGTGACTTAAATTGCAGTGGTGTTCCTGGGTGTCAAGATATACAGCTTTCCTTGGTCTTGCTACAGAGACTGTTAATAACATAAGAACGGAGGGACAGGGACCAGTAACATTCCATTTTTCTTGATGCTACAGGGCAGGTGCAAAATACCTACTAGGAGTTTCTGGGAATGCTCATTTTGTAGCTGTGTAATGTTGAGTTCAGGAAAGGTGGAGACTCGAGGAGGAGGGAGCGGCGGTGTCAGGAAGCGGGTAATAGAAAGGAAGGAGAATTCTGCTGAGGTCTCAGTGTTGCCAAGTGAGTGATGGCACTGGGGGATGACGTAGGAAGCAGAGCCACTTGGTGGACATCTCAAGTCACTGGATCGTCACTGAAGAGTTATTTGGCTCCCATTGTGTTCTAAGAACTTCACGTAGTGCTGTGAGCAAATGTTAACAGATAGTTTTTGTTGTGTGTCCAGAGTGGTTCTGAATGTAGCTTCCTGAAGGCAGGAATGTCCCTCCGCATTGTCACTGTGGTGTCTTCGACATTTAGAATGGTTCCTGGTGCACAGTGGGGGCTCAGTTGTTGTGTGAATGAGTGAACTGATGAATTCTGTATCTATCCCTTGATTCTCACTTCTTGTAGTTCAGGCTTATGCTAGGAGAATAAAATGGTCCTTTGAGTTGTCCTCTCTCCCAACTTCAGATTGGCTCAAACGTCTCTGGTGCTCTCTTTTTGTCATTTCTTGCAGATATTATGTCTGAGTTCAAAAATGACTCAGATCTTGTGGTCAGCAGATCTAAAAATACATATATAATAATAATGAACCTAGAAGTAAATTGTTGGCTTAATAGAATGCTCAGAGGAAACAGGTTCAAAATGAAGCCAAGGTCACAGATTTGATCTCAGGCGAGCTTTGTTCCACTTCCCAACTGCAGACAAGGCTCCCAGTCCAAGCTAGTTGTGCTAGTGAAAAGGAAGCACTGGGTCCAAAATTACATACGTATCATCACAACTGTAAATCAGTTAGCACCGCTGTAAAGCAGTTCATGACTTGTCTTATCGAGGGCCAACCAGCAGCCTCATCACCACAGCAGCACAGTAAGGCTGCTGTTCATATCGTCAGCTGTCACTCTGTGGCCACTGGAATAACTCTTCTAGAGACGGGAGAGCGAGTGAGCAGTTGTGGCCTGCTGCTTCCTAAATATCCGTGCAAGTGACAGAGCATTGTGGGAAGTTTCTTGATCTGCTTTGTGGGGTTCATGGTTCTCGCTCCCTCCAACACCTTAGCTTCGTGGAGTCTTATTGTGTTGCTTGTATCCTGACTTGGGAATTTCTCCCTTCTTCCCCATGACTTTTTCAGTTATCAATGCCCTGTCTCAGAGATATTTTCTTCAAGCCAATGACCAGAAAGATCTGAAGGATTGGGTTGAAGCCCTGAACCAAGCCAGCAAGATCACGGTACGTACGGTTTCTTCTCTTTTCTGCAGGGAGTAAAAGGGTCCCTTCCCAGCATGCGGCCTGTTTGGAGTGGGAGAAACTCAGATGGCAATGGGGACTTTCCTGGGAGCCACGTCCAGACCCAGTTCTCCCCTGCCTCTGCTTATACCTGGGCTGTCTAACCACAAGTTGAACTGAGAGTATGAGTTTGAATCAAGTTCAAGGGGAAGTTTATGGATCACCCTTCTGTGCATCCTGCTTGGCCACTTTGGGTAATTCTGGGATGCTGATTGAGGACGTGGTAGGATCAGAAAATGGATTGCTAGCTGTGAGAAGTAGAGTAAAGGGGAGAATTTACTTCTTCCTTAGAAATACAGAAAAAGAAAGGGAGAGGGTGGGAAGAAAGGAGAGGGAAAACTATATGTTTTAGAAAAAACTAGACCTTTAACCACTAAGACAGCAGATTCCTGGCCTGTACACCATGGTTTGTGTGCTAAAATGTTTGACTTAGGACGTTCGAGTGACTTCCAATAATAGTGACCGTGTGCTGGTGCAAATTATTCTCTGGACACCTATCTAGCATTTGTGTTGTGAGACCCAACCCAAGTACAGTTGAGTCATTTAAGCAGTTTTGCTTATTAACTTGATGAAGCTTGTTCTGATAAACCTTGGTAGACCGTGAAAAGAGAGAGTGTAATGGTGGGCGGAGGAAGGGAGGTCGCTGCTAGCTCACCCGCTCGTGTGCTGATGTGTGCTTGTGCTCGTGGCTTCAGAGACTGCTGACCTCAGTAAAGGTTTTTTTGGTTCATGCTGGGGGTCTTCACCCTTTTTTTGTCATCTTCCACAGTCTGGGGTTTCTCTCAACGTCTAATACTCGGTTACTGTTGAGAGTTCCCTCCTGTATTTCCTCCTCTGTTCCTGCTGGTGGACGGGGCTGGACAGCTGCCAGGCCGCAGGCAGGCTCTTTGCTTCTCCTTCATGCCTTGAGCGTAGAGTTGCTCTGAGCAGCTCGTTCCGCTGCCTCTGCTCTGCCACATGGAGCGGAAGTTACAGGCTGCAGCAGCGGAGGGTGTGCAGTGGCTCCAGAGGCTGCAAGTCCAAAGACTGCCGAGATGTCGAAGCCTCCTTCAGAGCCTCTGGTGGCTCCACGGTGCTCCTTGGTTTCCTCTGCTCGGTTACATGTCTCCTCAGTCCTGCCAGAGGTCCTGTGGAGTGGGAGGAAGAGGAGACGTACCCTGCTTCCTCCTCATCTTTCTGTGTCCTGGCAGAGTTTACTCCGTTCTCCACTTTCTGTATCATCCTGTACTGTGTGTCCTTCCTCAGGGAAGCTGGAAGAAGTTGGGTAGATGTGGGGCTGTGACCCACATTGGTGGGACACGTGTTTATTTTAGGGTACCTTATGTGTGAAGTGAAGCACCAGATACTTCGGGGAGACAGATGAAAGGGGACAGGTGATGGAGTGAGCCAGACTCACACACACTGTCACTCGCCCTGCACACCGCTTCTGTGAGACGGTTGTTCGTGAGGTTTTAGATGAGGAAAATGGAGATCGAATCTTGCCTAAGATCCAGAGGTTAGTGCGTGGTAGAGTTGGGATTCTAACCCAGGTCCCCTGACTTCCAAGACCTAGGAGTTTATAAAACTATTAAAAATAAGCAACAGTTGTAAGATATGTTAGATTATACGTCACTTTAATACATGGCTTCATTTTAGCCTTGTAAAACCTTAAGCAGGAAGGGCAAGTGCTGTCCCCGTTCATAGTGAGGAAATGGAATTGCCTAGAGCTGAAAGTGGTTCGCCCCAGGTCTTGCAGCCAGCATGGATCCTGTTTTCCTGCCCAGAGGTTGCTGTCAGTTTTATGCTAAGGCCACTGAGTCCTTGTGATGGAAGAAAATGTTTCTACATACAGTATTTAAAGAGTTCTCTCAGAATATTAGTGTTGCTGTATTTCCTAGGGTTGCTGTAACAAACTGGGCGGCTGCAAACCACAGGAACGTATTCTCTCAGCTCTGGAGGCTAGAGGTCTGAAGTCCGGGTGTCGGCAGGACCGCGCTCCCTCTGAAGGCTCTAGGGGAGACCCCTTCCTGGCCTCCTAGCCTCTGGGGGCTCCGACAGTCCTGGGCGCTCCTCGGCTTGTAGCCGCGTCCCTTCGCGTCTGCCTCCTTCTGCACGTGGCCGTCCTCGCTGTGCGTCTGCGTGGCCTCTCCTCTCCTTACAAGGACACCAGTCACTGGACCTGGACCCACCCTAAACCAGTGTTAACTCTCAGTGTTAAATTAACTCGTCTTAATTTAACTACTTACATTGCCAGAGATCCTATTTCCAAATAAAGTCACATTCTAAGGCTGTGGGTGGACAGTTTTGAGGGGACATTATTCAACTCAAAACATCTCCCAAAAAGGTTAAAAACCGAGCAGTAAAGTAAAGCACTGAGCCTTTCCCTGAAGCTGGATTATTCTTCGTAGCAGTGTAGCCACGGCCAGCATGAAGAAAAATGAGTCCCTGAAATCGTCATCTCATGGGCCAGCTGGTTAGCTCAGTAGTTAGAGCACGGCCTTAGAACACCGGAGTGAAGGGTTTGGATGCTGGTACTGGCCAGCCGCCAAGAAAAGGAAAAAAAAAGAAAATTTCATCTCACATGGAAATGAGATCCATGCGGAGCTCCCTCATCAGAGAACACCCCGAAGGCGGGTGGAAGAGGGCACACCTTTAATTAGGTCTCTGGGGAATGGGCAGACCAGGAGAATGACCTGTTTTCAAGCTGTGTGGCTTTGTTATGGTCGAGGTTTTTTGTCCACAGGCTGACTTAAAGTGGAAACAGCTTGGCAAGGCTCTGCATGGCTGGTCAGAAGCAGGCCCATAAGGGGTGCCAAGCAGTGTCCTCTGGGCAGGCCCATGAGATCCCAAGAGGAAATGCGACAGCCAGGCTTCTGTGAGACCTTTTCTGGCCACTGGGAACTCTAAAAAGTTACTTCCCTCCTTCTTTGCTGGATTTCAGGAATTCACTTGGGGGAAATTTCTGCTGTTCCATGGTGATTATATCACTAAATATCCCAGCAAAAGTCAACGTCCCTGAAACATATGGTCACGCAATAACAGGAGTTGGAAAATGACTTAATCTTAATGAGTTTTAGTTTACCTCATCTACAAAATAGAATCACGCCTACTTGATAAGAGTGCTTGACGATTATCATGCAGTACAGAGCTCAGTACCTTGCCAGCACTGAATGGGTCCCAAAGAAGTGGTAACTGCTTTTGTCTCTCTGTCAGTCAGAGGAAAAAGAAAAGGTGGAATTTCCGGCCTGATTTGGAAAGGTTGGGGGCAGAGGTCATCCTTATATATGTGAACTGAATGCGCAGTCCAGGAAGAAAAGATCTCATCTTCTTCCTGGGGACAGTGTGATTGCAGTGGTCCTATTCCTTTGAACAGATGCCAAATAGAGTGGGCTTCAGTTCCTGTTTTTGGCAAGGTTCTCATATAGCTCTGAGCTCCTGAAAGGGTGTGGCTCCTTAGGGCTCTGTGACTCTGAAGGCTGTAGGAGGAGTGGAAGGGGACTTTAGCTTTGCTCATGAGGGTGATAGTTACTTTCCTGGCAGATAGAGGCAGGTGCTGCATGCTCTCGGAGGCGTCTGATCTGACGCAGTGGACGACGTGCTGGCTGAGAGGCAGAGTCTCGTCTCTGTTATTGATCGTGGCTTTGGACAAATGGCTTGCTTGACTGTTCTGAGCCTCTTATTTTCTTACAAAATGAATGATTTCATCAGGGTTTGCAGACTGTGATAGAAATGACTGAAGTAGGCAAGGAGAAGAAAAGGGACAACAAATGAGGATGTATGATGTGTGACACATGCCTCAGTCTTGCGGGGACAGGTAGGGACTGCGGCAACCTGAAGAATGTCGTTTCCCATCAAATGACCAAGCAGTTGCTTAGCCAGAATCTGGGTTTTTATGTGAAATATACCACATTTTAAATGTAGATCGAAAAACACACTGCCTAGAACAGACAGTCACAGTTGGGGCAGAGTCTACCTGTGGCCGCCGGTTTGCTACCTCTGGCCAGTGATTTCCACCTGACGGCAAGAATTCTTTAATGATGAGATCAGCTGTGGTCTGTAACTCATTCTTTGAAAAGGGCTCCATTTGCAAGTATTAGTACCATTTGTAAAATGTTAATTAAAATATTTTGTAACACGTTTTTATTTTTATATGTTTCTACAGTGTTTCAGTTTATGTGCTGTGCCCTTTGATAACCACAGCAACTCTCATGACATGAATATTGTCCCTCCTTCCACTTCACATGTGAGATGTTTTAGGCCTAGATAGGTTCAGTGGCTTGCAGGTCACTCAGGTAGTTAGTGAGGGATCAAGTGTTACAGCCCAGGCCTTCCGGCTGCAGGCTGGTGCATCCCTCTTCCTGTGCCTGCCACCACATGCACTCTCACCTGTTGCACCTGCCTGGCTGCTTTCTCCTGGCTTTACGTTCCAGCTTCCTGTTCATCCTCAGGGCCCCTGTTTCTTTTTTTTTTCCTTTTTGTCTTTTTTCGTGACCGGCAACGGATCGCAACCCTCAGTGTCGCGCCCGTACCGGACCGGGACCGGCAACGGGATCGCAACCCTCGGTGTTGCACCCGCACCTCGCTCAGCCAGTGAGCGGCCGGTCTGTATGTGGGATCCGAACCCTCGGGCGGGAGCGCCGCCGCGCTCCCAAGCGGCGCACTGTAGCAGTGTGCCACCAGGCCGGCCCCAGGGCCCCTGTTTCAATGTCTCCTCCTCTGGAGACCTCCCGACCACTCCATTTCAAGTAGTTCCCTTGCTGCTCTCTGTTGCAACTCTTGTTTATTTTCTTTGTGGCACTCATCACCATTTGATATTTTTTTTTGGTCAGTCTTCCCTGCTAACATGTAAGCATTGTGAGAGCAGGACCCATGTCTATTTTGTTTGATGTTTTATCTTTGGTTTCTAGCCAGGGAAGGGCTGGCTCATAGCAGGTGCTCAATAAATGTGTTGAGTAAGTATATATCTGCATGCGTGTGGAGGGGGTTGCTTGCTGAGCCACTCCTAATCATGTATGGCTTGACAGAAGGGCTGGGGATGAGAGGGGAGTCTTCCTACAATTTGGTACATTAAGGTCTCTTGCTGCCCCTCCCCCACCCCGCTTTTGGCTCCCCACTTTTCCTAAGCCTTCTGTCTCTGTTGACCATGCTGACATTCTTCTCAGGTACCCAAAGTTGGGAGCCTACCTCCAGCTACCGAAGTTCTCAAAAGCCTGGCTCCTGCTCCAGCCCTAGAGAAGAAGCCACAGGTGGCCTACAAGACCGAGATCATTGGAGGGGTGGTGGTGCACACGCCCATTAACCAGGTGCTGGGGCCTGGCCAGGGCCACTGGGGGCAATGGGGGAGGGGAAGGGGAATGTCCATGGTGTGCCAGCCACGTGCATGGAGGACTGGACGAGAAGAGGGTGGTGAGAATGGGGGAACTCGTGCAGACGGGGAGATCAGGAAAATGCAGGACACGGGAGTGTGAGTCATGGCAGGGCAGAACTTGAGGCCACTGCATCTCAAAACTGTGCAGTTGGTATGGTTCTGCACCGGACACAGGAAACACGTGCTCGTAAAAGCCATGGGAAGGGGGACTGAGGAAGGCAAGCGAGGCTGGAAACAAGCCCCCATCCCTGCTCCCTTTTGGGTGCTTGTCCCCTCTTCTGGGTGTGTGGTCTCTTTCCCTTTCTCCTGGGTCTGCCCAGCCTCCCTGAGCCTCGTTCTGTGACAGCACCCAATGGAGTGCCTGCCAGGAGCAAAGTAAATGTAATGTTTCCTTGTTTGTTTCTTCATTGATTGACAGTGGCAAAGCGGCAAGAGATGGGGCGGGGGGGAGGTGGGTAGGGACCAGAGCCGCATAGGGAGCGAGAAGGAGGTGCTAATCCTGACACCGTTTCCTTATAGAATGGCGGGGATGGGCAGGAAGGGAGTGAGCTGGGGCCCCATGCCATCCTTCGAAGGTCCCAGAGTTACATCCCCATGTCAGGCTGCCGTGCATCCACCGGACCTCCCCTCATCAAGAGTGGCTACTGTGTGAAGCAGGGGAATGTGGTGAGTGTCACATGGGGTGGGGTTGGAGCCAGTGGGTGTGGATGTGGCAGGGGTGAGAGGAGACTGAAAGGAGGAGCTGCAGCCCTCCATGCTGGCCGCCACCTAAACCAGCGACGTCACGGTTCCAGTTACTCAGTTGCACATGTCAGAGGTGTTGCCCTGATGTGGAGCAGCCTCTGCGCCCGCTGCCCATGGGAGGCTGACCTCCATGGCCGGGTTCCTGGGAGCTTCACGTTAGGACACCCTCCACGATGCGGGGTCCTCTCCCTGATGTCTCGCTCTTTATGTTTTATTTCAGCGGAAGAGCTGGAAACGTCGCTTCTTTGCACTCGATGACTTTACCCTCTGCTACTTCAAGTGTGAGCAGGTTTGTAGTGGCTTTGGAACCCTTCTGAGGTCATGGAAGTGAAGGGGTGCGTGAATGTCCACCCGCAGAAGAGCAGGCATGAGCAGAGATGGGGACGCACGCACAGATGTCAGAGGCGCCTTGGTCTCAGTGCCATCACCTTGTGTGTGCCTCTTTACGATGGTAGTAAAGTGGCCTTAACTTCCTCCCGTCGCCTGTGCAGAGAGCTGCTGTGTGCTCAGAGCCACAGAGCATCTTCTTAGATTTTTTTTTCTCTCGATGATTATTTTGAGATCAGGTTGTTTGCCTCTGAGAGAGGGGCATCAGTCAGCTGGGCTGGGGTGTGATATTATGCAGACAGCCTCACCTACCTGTCTTTTTGTTTTTTTCAACCAGGATCGAGAGCCTCTGCGTACTATATTGCTCAAAGATGTTCTCAAGACCCATGAGTGTCTGGTCAAGTCTGGGTAATCATCTCTGCTTATTCTCTTCTGACCAAAACTTCCTGATCAAGACCTTCAGTCTTCCTTTACTACCCTCGAGGCTCTGTGCAAGAGTCTTCTTTTTGCAAGAGCAGGGACAGGGACCTAATGTGTTTGGCTGACACTGTGTCCAAGCTAACACAGACACAAGGTGACGCCAGGCAGACCCACCCTTTCCCATTACTCTGGCTCCCAAGGAGATAAGCCTGCAGGATAATTTCTGATGGAGAAAAATAAAAATACAGAAATGAAGAAGAAAGTGGAGTCCGGATGCTTTTCAGCTGTTAGAATTAGGTGCTCAGTCTCCAGGAGGATGGGGTCTGAGACGAGAGACTGTGCCGTTAGGTCACTGCCTTCAGCACCTCTGGTCAGATCATGGCTTGTGCCAGGGCCTCTTCCCTGAACTTCTTAAGCCTTGTCTCTTCTCCCTTTGACCCTGATGTCCCATTAACGCCAGGGTGACTCACGGCATTGCTGTTTCCTCCCATTGGTCAGGAAGAACAAGCATTTTTCATATATTCCTCTTCCCACTATGAGATGGCTACCTCCCATGTGCCACAGGGTACAGGTTGAGTTTGGAACTTGGCAAGGGATCTCCCATATCCAGTACAAAATACACACGCCCCTAGAACTAAACTTGAGAGACTGCAAGGATATCTGAGCATCTAGAAATCCTCCTTTTGGCCATCAATCTGCAGTCCTTAGAGAGTGTTTGTCTCTCTCCATCCCGTGGACTGTGCATGCAGAGCCCGCATATGTCATCAGGGAAGCTATTAGCAGGCAGACTGTTTTCTCATGAAAACCTCACATGAGGGTTTTACATTGTAACAACATGCTGTGTGACCCAGGGAAGCAGGGACGGAAGCACTGTACTCAGCCTTGCAAATGGCAGTTGCAGAGTAAGCAAGATTGGGGATGTTCCTGGTGACAATTTATAATTCATAAAAGTATAGCTGTAGATGGAAGTTCCAGACATGTGGCCCCCGGGGTAGGCAGTAGGCAGAGGAAAGACTGGGCATGACTGGATCCTTGGAGATCCTTGATTGTTCCCGACTCTGGAAGACCCTCGTAGATGTGAGACCACCTGGACGTATTGGGACAGCTTAGGGAATCAATCCCGAGTGCCTCAGACCTTCCCTACATTGCTAACTCTGCCTGAGTCACACGAAACTGAGTGAAGACCAGCAGGGAAGGAAGTCCCTGGGCTCTACAGCTCCCAGGCCTGTGGGACTGGCTTTTCTTGGAATTATTCTGACTCTTGGCACATAACACACAACCTGACATCTGATTGTGTAGTCTTGCTTTTCTTACGTTCTCTTATTGGACAGGAATTGGATCTTTTACTCCTTTTATGTTCCCCACAGTGACTGGTTACACAAAGCAGGCATTTGACAATGTGAATAATTTTGGCTGGTTGGAGGTTTATCACTGAGCACCAGTACCTCTTGCCCACTCCCTTACAGCAGTCAGGATTTCTCTTTTCCAAAACCCACATCCAGTTTGCAGCATCTTAGACTAAGTTGTCCACTCTCACCCTTATTTTCTCCTCTTCAGCTCTGGTCTCGTGGGCGCAGTTCAGTGAGGCAAAGAGAGGAATTGAGAGAAGTTGGTGGGTTTGCTGCTTGGGTGGAAGACGCCTTTGGAAATGGAGAGCTGGCTCCCCAGGAGAGGCAGATGGCGGTGCAGTAGTTTGAAGCAGAGACTCTGGGGTCAGACCAGGGTCCATGTCTCTGGCACGATGGACCAGTCATTTCAACTCTCTGAGCCTGGGTTTCCTCACCCCAAAAATGGAGAAAGTCACAAAACACTCCATATATCTTAGCCACTAAAAAAGAGAGAGAGAAAGAACTGTGGGGTGTGTTGTGGGTATTCGGCAGGAGATTTTGGAGGGAAAGCTTTATCTTGTTAGAAGTGGGGGTGGGGGGAGTGTCCATAGGGATGGCAAAACCTCCCGAGACCGTCTAGGAAGTGAAGCTAGAGGAAACCCCGTGAGTGTTTTTTGAGGCAGGGGATTAAGGAGGAATGGCCTGGAAATCCCCCACCCCCTGTTTTATGCTTGAGGGCACTGGTGCATTGACTCCAGACGGTCAGGTCCTTGGTGTGTACAGCAGCATGCGTAGTAATGTGCTTTTTCTTTCTCTGTCTAGTGATCTGTTAATGAGGGACAACCTGTTTGAAATAATAACAAGCTCCAGGACCTTCTACATACAGGTAACATGCGCACTCTGAGAAGACTTAGGCATTTCATTTCTGTGAATGGTGTATTACCAGGCCTTGCCCTTTCCTTTGCTTTCTTTTTTCTTTCGCATGAAGTTTCTTGGCAGTAAATTTAGCCCCTGATAGTCAGTCTGAGTCCCATTTTATTCTAAACAGGATGTTTGCCAAAAGCTTTCCGACCATAATATAATGAGATTGGGTCGAGCTGCTCTACTGGGGAATGGGAGTTTGTACCAGCTGCTCTCAGCTGCTGGGCTCCAGCTAAGCAGAGAAAAGGAGAACTGGTCAGTGGTTTCACTTCTCCTTTGGAGGGTATTTATAAGTCCCGTCTGTGTGTGGACATCACTGTGTGCGGAAGGACAGAAGCACAGAGGGCCCTGTGCAGGCACCAGGTGCAAAGCCCAGCTGCACAGAGAGCCATTGTTTGGGCTCTGACGGTTCACTTTTCAGAAGCCTCTCCCCTCTCCCCACGGCTTTGCAGTTCTCCTAACTCCTTCTATAGTCATAGAAGCTAGAAAGGCAGACTTCCAAGCACAGCCTAACTTTCAGGGCCAAGTCCCTAACCCAGCCTGCCTAGTAGTCCACAGAAACACAACACAGATTCCCAGCATTGTGGTGGTGCCGCCTGTCTGCATTAAACTGACATGTAGTGTGTTGGTGTAAGTGTACGACATCCCAATCGAAACTTTTCAGGGTTCCCAGCTCCCGTTCTTCTCTGTTCCCAGTGTCGCTGCCCCCAGCCCCTCTCTGCCACAGGGGTCTGCTCCCTCCCCTCTTTCTTGGGCAGCGGCTCCCCTCGTGGGTCCTCCTGCCTGAGTCTAGCGGGCATGCAGCAGACTTAGTCATCTGCGGGCTACACTCATTCGGACAAACGTGCCATCTGGGGAGAGGCGAGGGAGCAAACGAGCCGTGGAAAGGGTTGCTGTGTGTGTTAGAGCTACTTGTTTACCAGCAGTGTTGCCATTCAGGGACAAGGTTTAACTTGTATGTGCAACAGAAGTTTCTAGTTCTTGCATTCAGCAGTTATTTGTAGAGTGTCCTTAGAGTACAGGCATGTTATCCTCAGGCTGGGGACACCTCGTTAAATATTACACATCTTGAACCCAAGAGAGAGATACATTATAACCAGGTAAACAGGCAGTTACTACCATGTGATGGGGTTGTTGTGCGGGTGTTGGATAGGTGAAGAGTTTGCAGAGTGGTCTATGTGTGACACAGAGTAAAGCTTCCTATATGTAAACTGAAAAAAAATTTTAGGAGGGCAGGTGATCCCAGCATGAAATGCAGAACATGACAGATAAATCTAAATGTATTACAAATATGAAACAACCTCCCTGAAGGGTGGGGAGTACAAAACCAAACCAGACAACGACAAAACAGTGTGACGTGTGCTACTACCATTACAGTGAGTACCAGTTGCCGTGGGAACTCACAAGAAAGGCACCTCCCCTGGCCTAAGGGAGTCAGGGAAGGCTTTCTGAAGGAAGATGCTTGTACATCTCAGCTGAGTCAGTTGGGGGAAGAGTGGCCCATGCAAAGGTGATAGCACATATCGTAAGCCTGGAGATGAACGGAGCCCAGAGCGCAGGCACAAGGGCCGTGTAGCCTTGTGTGCCTTGCTTAAGGGCTTGTGTCTTATCCTGAGAGTTAGCACCCTTAGAGGTTAAGTGAGGGGAGTGACCCGATCAGGTTCGCCTTTAAAAAGTACCACTTGGGCAAGTTGTTTCGTTTTCAGAGCTTTGTCTTCCTCACCTGTAAAATGGAGATGATCACCCTCAGCCCCAGCTCTCTTCATGTTTAGGTGCAATATGGAATCTGGCCCAGTGCAGTGTCGAGGACGGATGAGAAAAGGGTAAGACAGGATTAGAGAGACGAGCTCAAAGGCTGTTGTAATAACGTAGGTGAGGTAAGGGATAAAGGAAGCCTGAGCTAGAATGGATGGAGGAAAGTGGAACATTTAAGAGATATTAGCAAGGTAGACTTTCCAGGACTTGGGCGCTGGTTAGATGAAGGGAGAGAGGAGAGGAAGGACAATGTCCAGGTGTTTGGCCTGAGCCTCAGGGTGGCTGCTAGCACCAGTCCCTGCGGTAGGAGCACAGAGGAGGAACCGTAGAGAGGACAGGAAAGTTTACCATGGTTGGTTCTGAATTTACAGCGCCTGCGGGACGTCCTAGGGGACATGTTATGAAGACCGTTGGATATACAATGCTGGACACATTGGTGGGACTCAGTAAATATTTGTCAAGTGAATGATTATGCTGGTTAAGAGTTCAGGAGAGTTTTGGAGTGAAGATAGTGATTTGGGAAACATGAAACTCAACAAAAAAAAGTTCAAAAGATACTAGGTCATCTGTATGAGTACATTTAGCAGAAGAGTGTCATTATTTCTATCCTCCTTTGCCTTCTGCTGCCCACATTTCTGGGATAAAAGAACACTAGCATCACCCTGAATGAATAAACGAGCAAGTGGACAAATCTGTCTATAGCACATAACTCAAAGAGAACGGAGAGTCAGAGAGGAATGTAGATTAAAGGTCATTAAAAGTATTCATGCCCACATTTCTGGGATAAAAGAACACTAGCATCACCCTGAATGAATAAACGAGCAAGTGGACAAATCTGTCTATAGCACGTAACTCAAAGAGAACGGAGAGTCAGAGAGGAATGTAGATTAAAGGTCATTAAAAGTATTCACCAGGTCGAGTTTTCAAACTTTCGAACATTGCAGTGAATATGGAACAGCATATATGAAGGTTTCTGTTATGGCTCTGGAATGTAACTATCTCACATGGTACAGTTGTATACCGTTAGAACCTATAACACTAAGAGGAAAAATAAAACCAACAAGTCTAGCATTCAGTACTACCCTATCATAATGTAAGGAGGTCTAATTGAGCTATGTCTTTATACAAAACGTTTTATGAAAAATTATGATATATCTTAAAAAATAGCAAGAATAGTATTATTTTTATATTTTTGCAAATCTCTTTAATGGCTGGCTCAGTAGAAGACAGTAGGATTCTCATATCTGCTTCTGCATTCTGTCTGTGGCCATATGTTTTGTTGAACAATATGAAGAAAATCTGGCCTCACACAGATATGTATTTGGAAAAAAGAACATGTTAATAAACTTTTTAGATAATTGTGGATATTCTTCTTTAATTCTATCCCCAAATTTAACAAATTTTCAGGTGCAATGTGGAATCTGAAGCCATATCAATAAACTTACTCTTACATTAAAATCCATTGGTCAGTTTTGCACTTTGAAGAGATACTTCTTACTCCTGCATGATTTTATAACATCATGGATTGGTTATATGGCAAACAGTGGTCTCACTGAGGTATGCAGATTTTCAAAATGTTGACACATCGTATTTTGTAATATCAAAAACTCACGTGCATTAGTATCATCACTAATATCATTAGCAAAGTCTTTAAGTATGGAAAGCTGTTGAGCTCATGGAGGTAAATACAAGTTTTCTGAAATTGTAATTTTTGCTTTGAAAGCTCAAAATTTATCATTGGCAAAAAGAAAAAAAATACTGTCATGATTTTTCCTTGACATTACAGGCTCATTTCATTCATTTTTTTTTTTTTTTTTTTTTTTCCTTTTTT